CAAACATCAGAATGTGAGGTATACAGTGAAAAGTTTAAGGCACCTCGGATGTTTAGCTTCTTCTCATCCATTCTCTGTAAGGAGGAACTCCGACTGGTCCCAAATTCTGCAGCATGACAATGAGCTCAAACATCCCGCCTGAATCATAAAAACACTATCTTCAGCAACAAGAGGAACAGGAAGAACACCATGATGTGGTATTCCCCAAGGAGATGCTGAGATTGACTAAATGTGCAGAAAAACTGTGGTAAGTTTTCAAAAGTGTCTTGAACATTCTACAAGCCATCTGTGTACCAAACAGAACTGATGCCTTACAAATCGGTGTGTAAGGTACCAAGCAAATAAAGGATATACAGGCACAGGTGTAATTTTTAAAGAGTGGGTTTTATTCTAATCCAAAGAAAAAGTAATCACAGAAATAAATAAAAACTGAAATAGACCCATAATAGAGGTAAACTAAGCAGAACTTTACTCCATAACACTGCTTAACTTAACAAAACCTTATCTTAACAAACAACTCAAGATATACATTAGTGGACTAAACCATTAAAATGCAAAGGGAGAAAGCAACGAGACAATAACTAAATTGGTTGGTTGGTTCAGTCCATTTGGTTGGCCAGCAACACCCTCAACCTCTTCCTTAGCTCAAACCAGGAAGGACTGCGGAAGCAGGCAGGTAAATCACAAAGGCAATAGTAATTAATAAGTAATTAATGCAGCTTCTATAAATCAGTGACAAAACAATGCAAACCCAAAGTATGCACCATCATTTAGAATACAGTGTAGTGCCATAAAGTGCATCGGAACAAATTAATCTCCTTCCTCTTTCGGCTATTCCCTTTGCTGCCACAGCAGATCACACTATCCCCTGCATCCTCTTCTGTCACACCAACCTTCTGCATTCATTAGATCCATGAACCTCCTCTATGGTCTTCCTCTTCTTCTGCCTGGCAGTTCCATATTCAACATCAACGGTCCAGTAACCTCCTGAGACACAGTCCACTCATTTATGTCTTCTGTAATGTACATTGGTCTATATCTTTTGACATATTTGAGCTACCGTACTAAGTTCTGATGTCCCCAATCGAGGACATCCTGGCCTTTGCAATGATATCCCATGTTTTTGAGTGGTCCTTTTAGCTCCAAAGAGGCAGGAAACACAAAAAAAGTTAAACTGAAGGATAATTTTTTCCCTCGTTTCTTCTATGTCCTCTATCCCTCCTCCGCACATGTCCAAACCATCTCACTGTTGCCTCTCAAGCTTTTTCCCCCAAACGCTCAACCTGAGCTGTCCCTCTGATGTACTCATTTCTAATCCTGCCCGTCCTGGACTCTCGCAGTCAAAATCTCAGCATGTACCATCTCCAGCTCCACCTCCCGTCTTTCTGTTAGTCCCACCGTCTATGAACCATAAATCACAGCATAGGTCTCACTACCACCTTGTAAACAAATTCAGCAACTTAATTAAACCAAAGAAACTAAGTGGTTGTCATGTAGCTCTAGAGACTGCAAATTTACTTAAATGTGGGAATGTTGTGGGAGACTGAAACCATAACTCTGTTTGATTTATGCGTGTGTGGAGAGTGGAAGAATATTACCACATTATTAATTTAACTGTGTGTTTGTGGTTGTGTACAATCACCACAGGTTGTTTTTTCCACCAAAAGAATTAATAAAGTTTTGCATTTCCTGCTGATTTTTTTATTGCTTAATACTATTTAATCACAGTTTTATAAAAAGCATACTCATTGAAACGAGAAATTTATAAGCGTCTGTGTGCGTTCTGAAGAGTGCTTATACCACTGCAATATGTACTCTAAGTGTATTCTTAACTATGCAAAAAGAAAGCTCATGTATTGAAGAAGATTTTTGAAGCATTATCTTGATAATCAAACTTAAACACAAGTCCAGAAAGTGCAGGAGAGGAATCAGTGGAAACCTTGAGTGCTCATATACTAATAGCAGTAACTAAATGTAAGGAGAAAATGAACAGACTGAGAAGAAAAGTTCTTCAAGATGCAGATTAAAGTGTATTTTGAGCCCAAACTATGCTAATGTCTAAAATTGCACTTGGCATGGTGTTGGGCCTCCTCCATATCTATATTCCGATTTGATTCAGAGAAGTCTACATCCTTCAAATTTCATGCAGATTTTATTTGCATTGTCACTCTCGCTAGCAGCACTTGTATTTGAGATAATATATACCCTTTTACAATGCTTAGTGAAAATGTAAACTATCTTGACATGGAGAAATGCCTCTTTCAGAAATGGAATGACAGAGTAGTGCACACATTTAGTTTTTTTTCTTAACAGACAGTTTTCTTGTCTGTCTCCCTGTCTGCTTTGCTTGCTGCCTTATTAGAAATCCCACCGGTTTTCATGGCAAGACGAGGCTCCATGGCATGTAGGCAAGCCTTACAAAGAAAACCACTGGGATCTATTAAAGGCTTGCCTTTCTTTACACTGACATGAGCCCACGTTCAGACTAACTACACAGTTCTTTAGGCTGAGGAAACTTAAAGTGCAAAACTTGAAAGAAGTGACTCTTATCTGTCAGTCTGAGGAATCATTAGCCTCATGCAGCATGTCCAAGAAAAAAAATCTTCATTTGAGATTGTGGAGCAAAGTTGTAGCAGTTTCAAAATACTCTACATACAGTTTTGATTGTATAATATACCAATATATTCATACATTCTGTCTAACAACCCTTGCTGCTTCATAAGAGGAAGCTTAGTTTCAGCTCGACAAGAGAATTATCCCCACCCACCCGTAGTTTACAGCCGTGGACTGGAGCTTTGTTCCAAAGAGTTTTAAATCAGCTCAAAGAGAGACAAACGGTTTTAGAAGCAACATAACATAAACACAAACAGTAAATAATTCATTTCATAAATATGGAGATGCTAACTGTGACCATGGTTAATCCATGTTATGCTGTCGATTGTGTATGATGTTAATAACACAGGATTACATGCTTTGATATTCAGTGATAAATAGCTGCGAATCTGTAAATCTGTAAACGCAGTTTATCTTGCTGTCCACTGATACCCATAGACTGACAACACAAGATAGCAAGTCTGTGCTGAACATTTTTTCACATGCTGCCCACGGCTGATTGTTTTGGACATTGCAAGACTGACTGAACTGACAGTTTATTATACTGATTGGCCACTTTTGTGTTTGATGAATACAGAGAGGTTTCTGTTTACTGACTTTGCCAACAGCATTCTTCTCAGACAAATGCATTGCAATGTATTATATACTTTTTTTTTTTTACAGTATTGTACTCTAATATTGAAGACTGTACTGTATTGTTAATTATGGGGCATTGTAGTGTGTGTATTTGTTGTGAACTGTTGAAACTGCTCTGAGAAAAAAGTCAGTAAAAAAAACAAAAACATAGGTATCCTCATGTAACATGCTAATTGCAGTTCATAGTGGTGGATGGCATTCTTTGATTGCATCCTGACTGTGTGAGTTAGGCTTGAGTACATATGGCAAAGTGTACTGTGTGACAGATGATCCCATCTGGATCCCAGTTAGCGACAAGAATGGGAGTGTCAGGTGTCTCATCAACACATTTCAACAGGAAAGCTCAAGGGGTCGAACAGCAGATCGCGCACACACCCCGTCCAGCAGCTAATTAACACAAAGTGTGACTTTACATTTTTAAACAAACATGTCAGAACCCAAAATTAGCATACACGCATGATCTAATAAATTAGTTAAATCAACTGCCTTCAGAATCACCAACATTTTTAGCACACAGGAAAACCAGTAGAAAGCATTTCACTGAGTGTTTTACAGTCATGTAACATATGACGGCATTTTATGTTTAATTTTGTCATTTTATGGCTGATATATTGTTTTGTACAGGAATATGTTCCTGGTAAGTCCACACAGGTTAATCCATTCACATTTATGATAATCATTCAGCCTTTCACTCCAGTAGCACGTCACGCAAACCTTTATCCAAGCTTTTATAGCACTGCACATCAACCAGACTTGTGCAATTACAGGAAGAGAGACCACGCAGTCTACGAGAAAATGCAAAAGTTGCATCTCTGGGCTGAATGAGCTGAGCTGAGTTTTTGTGTTTGTTTTGAGGTGACACACTTCCTATCAGAAGTGACACATTCTCAGCATGTGAATGAGATGAAGGCTACAAAGTACTTTAAATGCTGCAGGCTGATTGCGGCACTCTGTTGACATACAGTAACATTATTCTGGAGGAAAGGCTTTACAGCATGTTTCACTGACATTTTCTGTTCTCCATTACCTTGATGGCATTTATCCTGTAAGAGGAGGTGTGCATCTATCAATTTTCGTTCAGTCAGAAATCTATGACTCATGATGCAATAATTACAAACACTTTGATTTTAGCCTCCAAGGTTTAGCTCACGTGGAATAATTAAAATATTAAGAGGTGATATTTGGCTTGATAAATGACCACACAATTCACATATTTAACAGAAAAAATACTGGCTGGCAGCACACAGTATAACAGGATTAAGAGCACGTTTACTTTAATACAGTACTATGATTGTTGGACTGACGAATGTGGCACCTTTTTGATTATTCTTGCCCTGAAGTCAATGAGAAATCCTCAAGGAAGACATTGGCTTTATTTTATGTGAGCCAGCGCATTGATCTTGGCGGACAGTGGGGTTACAATAATCCCCTCTGACTGTACACATACTTTATTGTCTCTGCTCACAGCATTTGTTCACTTGAAGTTTTGGGAAAAACCCAACAAAAGTTCTCACTGGAGCCGAAGAGCAGTGTCTACATTAAACGCACAGCACAGAGAATTCAACTGTCGCCACGCAAGCACTAAAAGTGTGTTAAAAACAAGCTCACATCAGCTCACTGTACTGCCCCAAAATTCAATGCAATTGTGCTTTCACGTTAGAATGAACATCGTGACTGTCGCCAAGTCCAACATTCAGAGTGCGTTAGACTTGAAAAAAGATATATATTCTATATACACACACTTCACTTACCTTCTGCAAGCAGGCGCACCGCATGCACAAAGGAGGGGTCCAGGCTGTTTTTCTCGGACACCAGCTCAGGTAGGTACTTATCTGGATGCATCTTTATCACAGCGGACCTCTTCACCGGCAGTGCAGGTGAGACGGCAGGAGTGCTGAACGTCACAATGCAACTATAACCCTTGCCGCTCCTGCTTCTTGGTAGCTGTAGTCTACCGGTCTTAATGAGGAACACCAGCAAAACCCCCTCCAAAAATTGGTCTTCCAGTGTCTCCCGAGATGCTTGACTGGGGTAGGGGTGGGGGTGCTGATTTGTGATTCAAAGGTGTGAGCCCATCTCTGCTACCGCTGCCTGCTGCCTCTCCTCGGCACCCCGCCAGACTCAGTGGGTCTGCAGACCGCGCTGCTCCCCGCCCCTCAGCAACATTATTGGCCATATTCTGGGACTGGCGCTGCTGAAACACCAAGAAAGGTCCCCACTGAGCGTAAAGGAAATGCTCAGTGTTCTTTAAGGGAATTGCTTTAAAAAGGATGGGGTTGCATTTGGTTGCTGTTGACAACGGTCTCTGAAGCTGGAAACTTTAATAATATTGGATATAGTACTCCGCGGAGAACAAATAAAGCATGCTAGTAAAGTTTTGTTGCGCTAACAGACTGTACCATATAAATGTCGCTTAATTAAATGGGTTTTTTTTATGCAGCTCGTGAGTTTCAAAGTAACTACAAAGTCAGTACAAAGTAGCCCGCAGGCATTCACCTATGAGGGACAACACAACTATTCATGGTGCTAAACACTGGCTGCTGTCTGATTTGTTTATACATATTGAATTTGTCTTAGATAACCAAAAACTAGCTTACTGTTCTTCAGACTCCACATCACATGATCAACTTCATTAACTCTATTCCACATGCTAAAGCAGGGGTGTCAAACATAAGGCTTAGGGACCCAAATCAGTCTGGCAAAGACTCTAATCCTGTCCCACTGGACAGCTTTGGAAACTGTCGACAAAGGCATAGACACATGGCTATTGGTGCTATTTTTGTGTTTTGTACTGTCTACCACAGAAATATCACGGAGGGGGGGTTGATATACTGTGTATCCATTCCACAGTATCCATTGTGCACATGGATTAACTTTTTTCTGTTTACATCTTTAAGTCATACTGACAGATTTCCCAGCAGCATTTCTTTACCATGCAGAAAAACCAAGATGTACTTTTGAAACTGAACATTATTTTTCTTATATCAAAATGTCTCAAGGTTTAAATGTGCAATTAAACTTGCACATTTAAACCTTGATACCTGGTAAATGATACAAAATAAGTTTTACATTGATGCTGTAAAGGAAGTCTGGCTGTATTGTCACAGAGTGAAAACATATATTTCAAGGTATTCATGCTAAATAATCCATTCATTAGTTTTTCCATGTTACTTAATGAACTTATGTCAGCAAAAACAACAACAACAACAAAACCCCCCATTGATGCATAATTTGCAATGCTGGTCAGATCTTTTCCTTACATCCTTTGAGGTGGATCCCCTCTTATGGCTGAAGAAGGTCAACTCTAGTAGAGCTTTAGCTGCTTGCATAGTTAGTGGCAGACTTGGCTTAAAGAAGCTTTAATATAAATAGATATTTAATAATAAAGTGAATTCTTCACTTACTCATCAAGAGCCAGCGTTAGTGGTGTCTGCACTGTAAGAATGAATGTTTATGTCTCTTCAAATGGCTCTCTTGTCCCCAAGCCATGATATTGACTTGAATCCAAAAGTCATCTTCGGCACAGCATGCAGGCTGCTTTACTAACTCACAAATTAGATTTGAGCAGATGAGGCTGGTGAACGACCAATTCTGGCTCCACTTGACCTTTAGAGTTGTTTCTCCCCGCACTGATCAGAATCATAAAGGCTCCTCGCGGCTGCAAACAGCAATGCTTTGTGAATATGAGTCAATTATGTTCATAGTATTTAGGATTCTTCTCAGTTTTGGTAGAATTTAATATTTTCTGAGAAACCAGAACATTTGTCTCGGAAATCTAGTGCTGTTGTTTTGGGGTGCTCTGTGGTACATTAATGGCTGGAAATACCCATAAAACTGAGCCAATGGTTTCTTTCATTTAAATTGTGTATTGGCATTGAAGATTACAGAGTATGACTTTTTTATGGCTTTTTAAGGTGATTTAAAAGACTGTTTTAGAGGCCAGAATACCCAAGCGGGTTTGTCTGACAGAACTATTTCATTAATCTGCTTATTTCTGCAATGCCAAACAAGCCTTAAAGGAGTTAGTATTGATTAAAACTTCACACGTACATCCTCTTTCCATTTATTTTTCATTAAGTTCTCTCTATGAAATCAGACACAGCTTTATTTTTCTTCTTGAAAGCCTAAAACAAGCAGCTATGCCCACGTTGGCCAGTACTGTCTTTGCATTTCATGCTCGCTGGACCTTCACTGATTTAATTCCATTCAATAAAATGATTTATGACAGCGTTAATGCAAATCATGCTGCTGTTGCTGTGACTATTAATGGTAATGAGGGTTATGACGGTTAATGTGTTTGAGTCTTGTAAGTGTATAGTATGTTTGTAGATATAAACTAATGCAGGCACATCGGAATAGACACACACCACACACACCAACAGATGAAAACAATAGCAAAAAAAAAAAACATAGACAGCTTATTAAAACTATAGTTTTTAATACATTTCTAAATATTTTTATAGAAAAATGTCTGCTTTCATCATCTCAACGAGATGGAAAATAATCCAAAATTAAGCCAACACAAGACTGAAACTAGTGGAGAGGCAAAAGCAAATCAATTTCCAAAAACTCCAATCTTAACATTCCAAATTTTACTGCATAAAAAAACTGTTATATTTCTTCTCACTTCAACTTTTTATTTTTAAAAATAATGAAAGAGATGGTTTTCTCTATGAACACTTCCCAGCTGCTCTCCAGGCTGTAGTGAAACAGTGAAAAGTGTGAAGCGAATCAGAAATGTAGATCATTTGCTACAAAGTAAAAGTTGCACCTTTTTCTACCAACCGGTGGTTATATCATGCCCAATATGGCAAACAATTATTGAGCAATGTGCACGTGACTTTACATGAGAAACCTCAACATGACCCAAAGTCTTTTTTGCAAACAACAGCTATCACCATCTGGTGGCCTACGGATAGATTGCAGGTTCAAGACACTTCTCCAGTGGGTTCATATTTATGACCCTTAAATCATGTCCATGTTTTATACTGTTTATGATGTCACGGTGGCAACATCCATCTTTTATTTACAGTCTATCAACAGAACTACTAGGGTCAGAACTTAAAATTAGAAAGTTTAGCGTTCTGTGTGTGAGTAAAATTTAAACTTCTTTTAACTTCTTTAAGAAAATACTTTTATCAAAGTATAACTGACACTACAATTTTAATATCAACGTTTCCTCTTGGTTTGGTCATAACTAGTATGTATGTTTCTTTATATGCGGTCTATGCATTTGATGGACTCTTGCAGCCCTCTACTGGTCAAAGTGCAACGTTATACATTTTACTGACGGACTGGTAACACTATCGTTAAAAATTTACATTATGGCAACGCTTTAATGTAAGGCATTTAACACCAGAACACCTCTGGGTAACATCAAATTAGTTTAGAAGAAGTTGTTTATCTCCTTTTGTTCGCTTTAATCTGTTTTCACATTTTCACGGAGCTATATTTTCCTTTTATAAAAGTTTGTATTTTAAAGTTTGTTGCTGATTCTCTGTAAAAATGAGTAATATAAGAGTAACTTTATTCAAATTTTTCTGCTTTCTTTTCAGCAGTTGTGTCGTTTGCAGATCCTTTTCTGGGTACTTACATTTTAAAAAATGTTTTAAGGAACTTTAAAGCATGCACCCTACATAATATATACGTTTAAGAATTCAATAGCCTATGATATAACCTGCAGCTGGTGAAAACTAGCCCACGTGTCCACGTTATATAGTTCAACTGCTTGACCATTTGTTAAACTCTGTCCTCTTTTTGCCCTTTTTTAGCTCCGCCTTTATCGAGCCAAGCACACGACTCCAAAAATTCAGACGTTTTCACAATAAAACTACATTACAATACCCAAGTACTTCAAAATTCAAATTCAAATTCAAATTTTATTTGTCACGTACGCAGTCATACACAGTACGTTATGCAGTGAAATGCTTGGACAACTGCTCGTGACCTAAAGAAAACAAAAAAGAAAAGGCTATGAATAAGATAGGAAATAAATATGAAAAATTTAAAAGGGTAAATTTAACTAGGAAGGAATAAAATATAAATTAAGGTTAAAAATGAAATAACTGTACAACACAAATTAGAATGAAGGGTAAATTTAACTGGGAAAGAATAAGATAAAATATATAAATTAAAGTTGAAAATAAAATAACTGTACAACAAAATACACAATACACAGTATAGAACTATATAAGAATGTATGAAGAAATATAAATAAATAAATATATACACAATAACAGCAGCTGTACAAGTATTAACTGGAAATGAAGAATGTAGTGACCAGTGTTGTGCAATCCACATTATGTCTTGTGCAGTGCAAATATGCTTAAAGTGATTTAAGTGATGAAGTGAAAACAATGTCCAGAATCAGCGAAAAGGAGCATAGCTGTCCGTATATGGCGTTATTTTTGTGCCACTTTACGTGCGATCAGAATAGTGGCACAAAAATAACGCCATACAAGATGAGCCTTTTAACATTGTGCTTCTTAGTTTGCTTTGTGGCGTGAGGATTTAATTTTGAAAACTTGTAGGAAGTCTTTCCTCGGATGTGGCCATAGTGACAAACTTGACGTCAGTGTGCAGCACGCGCTAGTTAAACCGCGAACGTTAGTCTCTTGAAGTCACGTGTCTATGGCGAAGTGTTTATCCTTCCGGAAATTCTGAGGCTCGGAAAAGGTAGGACAAAATGCAACGTCTCAATATGTTACAGGTTGGTCCCAATGAAATGAATAACTATCAATATCACGTCAGCGACTGTGAATAGATTACAGTACATTAAACACAGTTCAAGTGCATCCAGGTAATAGGGGAAAAATGTTTATGTGCACATAAAAATTGAACCATAATAAATTATGAGAAGATAAATTATTATAGTTTAGTACTTGATTGTAGCTCGTAATTCAAAGTTGCTAAAGCCATAATACATTTAAGATAACTTATTATTAACAGCTGTTCTAATTGAATTGGTCTTCTAATAGCCAGGCAATAGCCAAAAACTGGCAACACGGGCTACAATGACCACATCTCAAAGTTCAGTCTTGATGATATGATCTTCGATAGAAGTTGTATCAGTTGTTCCAAGGTGCAAATTCATGTGGTGCAAATACATTACCAGTGGAGTGCAGAGCAAATAATTAGTTTAGCAGTTTCCGTTTATTAAACGAAAAACATTTCTTTGTATGTAAAAGTTTGAGTAGTATGTCTGGATCAAGGCAAAAAGAAGATACCAATGATCACTTGGTGCTTTTCCTAATGTTCAAAGAAAAAGTGAATTATTCT